TTTTTTTTTTGGCTTCAAAATTGTGTGTACCACCCAAGCTGCCGGAACTGCAGGGAGGGCCCTCTCTGCTGGGGACCGACTTTGCCTCCAATGACGCGGGGAGCCTTGAAGCTTTTCTTTGGAGGCTCCGAATTTAAACTGGAGGCACTGCTCCCATTCTAGCTCATTAGAAACCCCATTCCAAATTCTTCGGGCCTCTGTGGTGAGAAGTGAGCCAAGAAGCAGGCTGCTCACAGCAGAAAATCGGAAGAACCATCGCAAAGGGAGAGCACAGCAGTCAGGCTCCCTGGACTCACAGCCACCTCATTTTTGTTTGGAGGTGGGACATTCTCTCTTCTTCCCAGCACACTTATAGCACCTGGCCCCTGCCCGGCAGTGAAAGCACCTCCTTCCCCTTTTGCAGCTGGCACTCCTCTCATCCGTCCTTCATTTCCTGGGGGCACTGCATCCACATGGTGCCCTGGGGCTGACACCTGCCCCTTAGCCATGTACATGCTCCTCAGATCCTCTTTTCTCTAAGGGCCAGTGGGGAGTAATGGAGTCAAACCAACTTGCGTGCAAAGCTCAGCCCAATCACGGACTACTAGCTGGGCATCCCAGGCAAGTAGCCTACTCTACCTTCAGCGTCCTCCCCTGGAAACAGGATGACCACAGCAATCTTGTCGCGATGCCGTGAGGATTAGCATTCCTTGTAAGTACCTGGCGCAGGGCCTCATACACTCTCCCTTCCTCCCTGACCCGAAACCTCCCCCATCCGTCTGGCCTGACAAGTAACTGAGCAAGCACTGCTGAAACACAGCAGCAGCTTTGGCAATGGGGAGGCCTGGCTTCTAGCTCCTTCGCTTAGTAGCTATTCGAATGACTAGGCAGATGAAATAACACACGAGAAAGAGCTTTTGCAAAACATAAAGTGCTCTGCGAATGTTTGTTGTTGCCACTGTCTCGGAAGGCCCATCAGCCCTGCCCTGGTAGCACTGCTCCTTGGACATGCTGGTTGTCATCCTGGAAAGTGCAGGAAGCTTGGCTTCTAGACCAGGAGATAGAGCCAAGGCAAAGGCAGTCATTGGGGAGGGGGAGGGGACAGGAATGCCAGCTACCTGCCTCGGGTGGCTGGGGGCAGGCCCAAAGTAACAGGAAGGCACAGGGTGGGGAGCTAGCAAAGAGAAATCTAGCCTTTTTAACTATTTTCTTGGGGCTGCCGCTGCCTGAGCAAGCTTCAGCCAGTCCCCCACTCCCTGCACATGCTCAGAGCTGACATGGCTATTTCTTTTCCTTAGGGAACATATCTGGCCTCTTTCTATAGATGAGGCATGAATGTCCTTTGTTGGAGGCCAGCGGGGGAGAGTAGAAGTGGAAAAGGGGAGAAAAATACATCTGTAACCTTTGGAGGGTGCCCGAGTGGATGACGGGAAAAGTTTTAAACCAATCTTTTTTTTAACTAGCTGGACTGTCCCATCTGCGTCTAAGATCCACACGCAAGGCTGACCCAGAGATTGGCAAAAGGGGACAGAGACAAAGAGAAACTAACGCACAGCAAGCGAGGAAGCAAGGCAGACAGGGAGACACACAGATAGGTAATTAACCATTAAGCTAACTGGCAGAAGATGGAAGCTCAGGAGGCCTAAGGAAGACATGATGTCATTCTGACTGCAGGCAGCTTCTGAAGGAACAACACTTAGCTCAGCCTTTGTCCACTCGGTAATGTAACACAGAAAGGAGTTTTTCCAAGTGATCAGCAGAGGAAGAGATATCCACAGTCCTGGTTGGCTCCTGCCCCATAGCCACGGCTGACCTGTAGTTTGCCTGGTCAAGAGGGCTAGTGCTTGAGGGGGAACCAAACTAGGCAGGAGGGGGTGCTTCCATGAGAATTTACAAAGAATGGCTCCAAAAGTAGTTCTGAGTCTCCCCTCTAATACCTCCTTCATCCCAGCCCTCACACACTCCTAATTGGCATTTTCCAGGCTTTTAGTCTGAGACAGGCTCAGTATGATTTAGCTGGACCTATAGGAGACAGGCCCATAATGATCATCACGGGAAGCTCCACCCTTTCTTTGGGGTTTGGGGCATGCCTCCACCAAGCCTGATGTCAGAAAGGACTGTCAGCATTTCCATATGATGTGTTTCTGTGTCCCTGTCACAGGTACCTTCATGAGTTGCATGGACCATGGGACAAGCCCAGAGCAGGCATTTATATGGAAAGAGCACCGAAAGGGAAATTAGGAGACCTGAGTTGTAGGCCTGGTCCTCTGTGATCTTAGGCATGTCACTTTCCCTCTCTGAGCCTGTTTCCTATCTGTATAATTTGGATGTTGGATTAGAGATTCTCTAAGGTCCCTTCCATCTCTGAATATTTTCTGATTCTCACAGCTAAGGTGAGACAGTCAAGGTACAAAAAGTAAAACCCAGGTACTCAGCTCAGCATCTGGGGTGCAGCTGAAGGAGACAACTTGAAGGACCCTGGGACTTAGGGCTATAACCCTGGACCCCTGGCCTAGAAGTGACCACCAGGCTGGCTGCCTGGTACACCACCTCCCCCTGTGCACACTCCCCCTGGGCCAGATATTGCCCCCTAGAGTAGAGTGCAGCGGTAGAGAGCATGGGCTCTGAATCTAGGTTGAAATACTGACCCTGTCACAGGGAAAGCAAGATAATGAAATGGGGAAGTGCTTTTAGGCTCAAGGGTCAAAGACTGAAGCTCAGATCCATACACCTTTGGGTGAGTTATTTAGTCTCTCTAACTTTGATCTCCTTATCTATATATGGGAATGATGATAATAGTCCTAATTTCATCGGGTTGCAGTGAAGATCAAATGAGGCAGTGTATGTACAGTGTCCAGTATGGGCTCTTTGTTTATTCAAAAAGCAGGAGTTTATTATTATTATTATCATCATCATCATCATCATCATCATCATCATCTACTCACTGGAGGTTTTTTTGATGCTCATGTTAACTAGGGAACACTGGATTATAAATGTTATGATGGGGCCCGGCCGGCATGGTTCAGCGGTTGAGCATAACCTATGAACCAGGAGATCGCAGTTGGATTCCTGGTCAGGGCACATGCCCAGGTTGCAGGGCTTGATCCCCAGTGGGGGGCATGCAGGAGGCAACCAGTCAGTGACTCTCTCTCGTCATTGATGCTTCCCTTCCTTTCTCCCTTCCTCTCTCTGAAATCAATAGAGATATATTTTAAATAAATAAACAAATAAACAAACAAATAAATAAATGTGATGGGGAGGGAGTGAAGACACATTGACTGGGGACACCAAATTGGGTTTCAAAGCCCTAGGGATGGCCCTGGTCATTAAGAGGGTAGTCTCAAATGTACTGAATCAGTCATCCCCCTACAGGGGTTGACATATATGCTGCCCTGGGGTACAGGGAGACAGCCCAGTAGAGGCCACACCCTACTCTTGGACTGAGAGAAGGGCTCACTGAGCCCTCTTTCCCACTCTCCTGTGAGAGTTGTCATTTGATAGCCTGACAGCTTTCTATTGCTGGCTGTGGTCTAGGGCCACCTCAGCCAGGCCCACAGACTTTTCTCTATCCCCCAAAGGGAGAAGTCTTTGGCAGTCACCTGCTGGTGTGGTTTTGATACTTGTTCCTTGAGAAACTCCAGGCCAGCCAGAGTGTGGGGCCAAATCTATGGAGATCGTGTGCTCGCTGCCATGATCTGCCATCTTCCCACGGACATGCTGGGCTTCGCCTGCCGGCTTTGGCCCTGAGGTTGCAGCAGCTTTACAAGAGGCAGGGTTGCCATCTCGCCACTCCCACACCCCACCCTGAGATCCTTCAGAATCTGCCCTCAGAGAGCTCCTTCATGTCATAAGTGTCACAAGATTTTGCCCCCTTGAAGTATCATCTTCCCCTAAAAAGCCCGTATTGAACACTTCTCCTCACGTGGTGTCCTGCTCAGCTCTGTTTCTAGTGAGTCACACTGTCACAGGCTCTGCCCCCTGGGAAAAAGTCCAGAATCTTTGGCAGAGGCTGTAAAATCCAGCTTGGCTAAGTACTGGGCTGTTGTAAGGGAAGGAATCTTTAAAAAATTTCCCCAAGGGCACTGGGTGGTGACCCTCTTCCAGTCGTTAGCACCTCCCACTTTCCACTTTCTAGTTTCCTCCTCCCTTCTCCCCCAGGCTCCCAAACACTTCCATTTTCCCCCATGTAAATTGCAGGCAGACTAATTTCCCCTCTCTTAAATCCAGAGAGCTGTTTGGCTCAATGTGACACTTGATTTTAAACAGGCAGTAGCATTATATTTTAAGGGTCTTGAGGGTTTAAGAGCACATCCATAAGCATTTTCCTACTTTGGATTATTAAGGCATGCTTTAGAAATTCCAGGATCTTACAACTTTACATTAAAGAAGCTAGACACCCTAGAGCAAGTCCTAACCACACAACCGTCAACATGAAGCCCTGGGAATGGAGAAAGATACCTACTTTGGCTTTAAAAAGGAAATGTAGCAATTCCCCCCAAAATGCAAGAGGTGAAAAAGGTCACTATTGCAAAACAGTGCCCCATCTTTCTGACCCCCGGCTCAGTTGTTTTTGAGAGCTCTTCCTTACCAGCCCTGAGCTGCCCATCTTCCTGACACATCTAGCGTCTTGGCCCGGTTTCTGAAGCCATTTTAAACCACTTTCATTTTAATAACCAAGGAGTTAAGAGTCTTGAAGAGTTTACAGTGTTTTTCATCATTTCCCCCAGTTACTAAGCCCTTCTCCCCACATCACTCTGAAGATGGGCCTTGTGTGGTCATTTGGGCTCTAGGACCAGCAGGAGGAAGATTTACCTTTACCTGACGGGGTCCGACCATAAGCTCCAGGAAAGGCCAGCTGTGGGTCTAGTGGAGTTGGTCTTCAGTGCACAGTGTCCTTTGAGGTGACTTTCCTACCCATAACCCTGCCCCTCTATGCTCCCCTGACACACGAAGCTGCCCTTGCCATGTCCTCTCTCCCTCTAGCCTCTGACATTGAAATATTGTTGTCCTACCGAGTTTCCACCTTTTCTGAACCAAACGTGAGTACAAACGGTCAGACAAGAATGTCTGTACTTAGCCCACTTCATAAACTAACGAGAAGGGAGGACCCGGGCACTTCCCTTGGCCCTGGTAAGTTGCTTGGCATCTTTACAAAGGCCTGCTGAAGACAATACCAACAGAATGAGCAACGGCGAATAAAGAAGCTGTCATTTGAGAAGGGCTGTTCCAAAAGAACAAATTTTGTCTATTGTGAAGGGCTGGCGGGTGACCCTGTCTCAGTTTCTTTAAAAGGGGTCATGACTTTGTGCCAGAACCCCCCACTCCACCTCTATTCCATTTCAGCCCCACCGTTAACCATCAACTGTAATTTTCTATGGACTTCCATCCTTTCCTCCCCCCTCATGCCTTAACCAAAGTGGGGTTTTGCAGCCTATTGGAACCCAAGAGGTAAAGGAGACCTCAAGATATGTAAAGTGCTTTGGGATCCATCCCACAGACCAGGGCAGGTTCCCTCCTACCGCCCTCTGCCCACAGGTGCCCTGCTCCTGGCTCAGGGTCAAGGATGGGATTACACATGCTGTCCTGGTGGGAGCTGGCAGGCAGGGGCAGAGGGCATGAGTGCACCCACTCCCGCCTGCCCTACAAAGGGTGAGGTTGGAGCAGGGCGCTGAGAGACGCAAAAGGGGGTGAGGAGGTGCCAAGTGTCTTGGGCTCAGCAAGCAGGGACACAGCCATGCACCTGAGGCTTCACAACCGCTAGAGCCATGCCTCGGGCGAGGACCCCTCCCAGAGCCCATCCGGATCACCTTGATCTTCTCGCCCTCGATTTCCACCGTCTTCTCCCTGAAGTCCACGCCGATGGTGGCCTCAGTCTTGTCCGGGAAGGTCCCGCCGCAGAAGCGGAAGGTCAAGCAGGTCTTGCCCACGTTGGAGTCCCCAATCACGATGATCTTGAAGATGCGAATCTGCACGTACTGGTCCAGCGACGAGTCAAGCTCCAGGGACGCCAGGCCAGCGGGCGAAGCGGGTTGCAGGCTCCCATGGCCCAGGATGGGCTGTGCCATCTCCCCAGGACGGGACCAGACCGGGGCCCCAACCCCCCTCGAGGGCTCCACACAAAGAAAACGGCCCGTTAGTGCGCTCGAGGCGAGCAAG